TAATTACAAAACGACTACCTTGAGTGGACAATAGTGTTAGTTGAATAAAATCATTGTTGAGCAAATATAAACAATGCTTTGGTTGATACAAGTTTTCAATTAATTTTATGAACTTGCTGTAGACGTGAATCAGCTAACCGTTTATTATTGAAAAAAAAGTTTCAGTTTGACACAAATAAAAATTTACTCGATGGTTGTTGTGTTTACTTCTTTTATTTGCATATATTAAGCATAAAAAATACAAACATATTTACATAAATAGTTACTGGTGTAAATAATACATATGTATATGGTGGTAAGAATTTCCTAAAAAGAAACGATTAAACAGGAATAGTCGTGCGAAAACCCAGGTCAATATCTGCTGGAAGTGCTGGTTTGAGTATACTGCTTTGCTTTTTCCTTGGCTAAATAGATACTTTCTAATTATAATTCACATGAACTATATATCCACTGAGAAACGCCGGTTGGCATCAAACTTTATATTTTTAAATAACCATACCCGCACCGAAACAACTCGCGGCGATGGTAAAACTGCAACTGAGACAAACAAGCCTGGGCTTGTCATAGCACACACTTTTCTTTCTCTACCCAGCGCAGTGATCGACATGCCATAGCTTACTGAGCGCTCTGTAACCACACGCGTGTTTCACCCGTATACGAACAGCGGTAGCGGAGCAGTGATTTCCACGCACACAGTCTCATTCATTGAATCGTTTTTATGTAATGGTCGGCATACTAGCGCATTCAAACGATTCAATAAGTGGGACTGTGTGCATTGCTTAGCTGACGCTCTTCGTATGTGAAACACACATGAGCTCAGAGAGCGCTGATCATTATTTAGGGGGTGCTCATAAGCATGAATATATTCCGCTCTCAAACCAAATCGATCAACTAAGATTTGGTAACTATGACTAATCCATGTGTTGAAAGAAAGCTTATCTGTATTAGCAGAGCTTAATGGCATCCTTTTATGAACCATACTTTAAGTTGAATGGAATTTGTAGAAATATGCTTAAAAAAAATATTTATTAGTATTTACCAAACCCGTCGACTAAATTAACGATTTGGTACAACCTAGATGAATATTAGAAGCTTTAATATATTTAGTTATAATTAACAACCCATGGTAATAGTTCCCAATCCTTGGTCACAGTTCCCAAATATTGTCAAAATTCGGGAACTAAATATCTTTAGTTGTCGAAACTAATCCTTTTTCTCAGTGTAAAAAGGCGATGGTTTTTATGGATTTACCCTTTGAGTGTATGCGAACGGGTATTATACGAAAACATGGTGCATCTTCATCATTACCTACATGAGTGTTTACCAGTTGATTATTTAATAGAGGTGGTGTGGTATTTTGCTTTTGCTCAGCATACGTAGATACGCTCTTCGGAGTGTTTTTATGAAGAAGCTTGTGGTGCTTTGATTGGCAACCATCGACTCCACACTCCCTGTTCGCATAACACTTTCGGCGGTCCATGTTAAGGCAATGTCTGCACAATTTATTGGATTTTACTACATCTCACTTGCGCTCCAAGGTGAGTTTACTAAATTCTACACACGTCTGTATTTTATGATCGGTGCACCCGCATAAAACACACCCAACTTTGTTATGGTTTTCGACACCAGTTGCTTGCGTGTGTGCGTTAATTACGCCACTCTTTTTGGATACACGTGGTGTGATCACCTTACTTGCTGCTTCGGCTATTTGGAAAATCCAATCACTAAACGCTTTAATAATTGGTACTCGCTCGTCTCACTGTAACATTGCCCAATTTAACTTGTGTTGGCTTGGAAGCTTGTCAACGAATTCCTTCACCAACATTGGATTATTCAGATGCGCCTCCATATGGCAGGCTTCCATCGTAGAGCAGATGTTTTGGACGCACAACGCGAAGTCGATAAGACTTTCCAGTTTTTCCTTCAGCGGTGGAATCGCCCTGGCTTTCTCCACCAACGATTCTAGTATATGCTCTGGACGTCCAAAACACATCTTAAGTGTCTGAATTATTTCCGGGACCATAGAGGGGAGCAATAATTTGCAGCGTACCGTCTCATAGGCCTTTCCCTTGAGACACTTCTGCAGCCGCATTAGGTTTTCGGCGTCGGTGTACCCCGCTACTTGCGTGCTGTTTTCGTAGTTACTTATGAACAGCGGCCAGTCATCCGGATTTCCGCTGAAGGTAGGCAAATCCTTTGGAATTACTTGTCTAGCGGCAAGCTGCGAAGAAGTCGGAGCTGTAGTTGTGCGGTTGATTCCGATAGACGAACCGCCTGCGCTTAGTATTTCGTACTTTTTTTGTAGATACGTTTGCTCTATTTTTCGCTCTTCTTCCAAGAGTTCCAATTGTAGTACGTGCTGTTGGGCTACGCTGTCGTAACCTTGAGTTGCATCAAGTCGCGCCCCACATTGAGCGCCAGTTATCGGTGGAAGTAGAGGTTGTTGCATAGCTTGCTGTCCTAGACCAGGGAGTTGCTTGGCAGGTGGGAACATTGCGGTTGAATATATCATTGGTGGGTTCGCGCGATGCGCATTGGAGGTGATAACGGCAGGAGTCATTATCGTTGCCGTTGATACGATGATATTGCTTGCTGTTGTAATTGAACCTATTGGTTGTTGACCATGTGTACCGAATGCTGCAGAATTATTATTCTGTACGTCCGTATTTGGCGACGATGCTGCTTGTGGTTGCCCGGTCGTTACCGTAGATATTTCACCATTAGATGTCGGGGGGAGCGATAGTGCTCTTTTCAACGTGATTTGTCTGCGCGGATTCGCAAGATTTACAATTCCAACTTATGTTGGCCACGTTACTATTCACCCCGACACAATCGTAGTGGAACCACCTGTCACAGGAGTCGCACTGTACCATGCGGTCGGTATCTTTTTCACAACAATTATTGCAATTGTACTCGTTAGACATGTTTATTAACTTTTATTTTAAAGAAAATATTTTTAAAGATTTGTTGTCTCTCAAATAAATGACCAAATACAAATTTTTTAGCTTTGCTTTTAACTTTATTTGCACTAATTCATGTGCTACTTGCGCAGAGCTTTAAAAATATTCTGTATGGTTAATACGCGTGTCAAATACAAGAAAGACCCAGAATTTTACTCTGGCGGTGTTATTTATACACTTATGAAATGAATACAAAATATAACGGTGGCTATTTAACTATTTACAAAATGTATGTACATACATATATGGCTTATTAATGTTGTAGTACGTATGAGTGAAGATGATTTAACTACACGTATACACTCATGTATATATAGGTATGCTAAGGTGGTAGGCAAAGTGATAAGTATACCCAGCGGCGGTGTAAACGAGTATACCCAGCGGCAACATTCCCCCCCTAGCAAAGGAATCGTGATGAGTATTGCTTAAGTATTGCCGGTGACATCCAACACTGCCACCTTGGTTGCGGGCCTTTGCATTAGACCCTTTTGCGTTTTTATAGTTACCCGTCGCACCTGTTCATCTTTTGCTTTTACGACATCAACGATGATACCCTTCGGCCAATAATTTCGCGGCAGAGTCTCATCAACAACAACAACGACGTCTCCGATTGCGACTGATGCCCGCTTGCTGAACCATTTGGCTCTACGTTGAATGATTGGAGTATATTCCTGCAGCCAACGTTGCCAGAACTTGTTAGCGAAGTCTTGTGTCTTGTGCCACTGCTGTCGTAGGTTTGATGCCTCGTTGAAGACTGATTTGTGTCCGTCGGTAGATCCGAGGAGCAGGTGGTTTGGTGTGAGCGCATCGTCGTCTGCGCTGTCGAGAGATACAAATGTGAGTGGTCGAGAATTGATTGTAAGCTCTACTTCACATAAGGCGCTTTTGAGCGTTTCGTCTGTAAATTTGTACGAAGGGCAAATAGCATTCAGGACGGATTTAACGGAGCGGATTAATCTCTCCCAGGCCCGGCCCATATGTGGCGCCCCTGGTGGGTTGAATCGCCAAACGACGTCTTCACAATTTATGTTTAGCTTTTCGATACCATTAGCATTTGTGCGCAAGGCCTTTTCCGCAGCTTTAAAGTTTGTGCCGTTGTCTGTATAAATCTCGCGTGGTTTGCCTCGCCGTGCCACAAAGTTCAGAATGCACATTATACAAGAACTGACGTCTAGACTATGTGCGACCTCCAGATGAACTGCACGGACGCTCAAACAAGTAAAGATTACTCCCCACCTTTTCTCTCTGCGCCTTCCAATCGAGACATGTATCGGACCGAAAAAATCTATTCCGACATAGGTGAAGGGACGCTCAAAGCTTGCCAAACGTGCAGCTGGTAGCGGAGCCATTTGCTGAGTATTTGGCTTAGCGCCATCGTTCTTGCAGCGTTGACATGACCTTCGTATTTTGCGGTAAAGTACTCGTAGGCGTGGAATATAATATTGTTCGCGAATCGAGTTCAAGGCTGCTTCATGAAATTGATGATGATTTCGTTCGTGGTAATGTCGAACTATTAAAGCTGTGATTGAGTTGTTTGTCGGTAAGATTATAGAGTCGCCAGTTCTTAAGCTTTCGGCTCTTCCCCGTGATCTGAGTATACCTTCGTCGCTTAAATAGACATTTAAAGAGATTAGTTTGCTATCGCTTTCAACACTCTTACCGCATTTGAGGTTGATAACTTCTTGCCGATATTCACTCTGCTGTGCCTCTTTTATGAGCGCGCTCTTAGCTCTGTGGATAATGTTGTCACATACGCCGGTAGGTATTTGCTCCTTCTTTATCTTGGCTTTTAGTTTTTCTACGAACAATATTACCATCGCCATCGTCAAGTATAATCGACGCCAGCTTGAGAACCTATCAGCATCGTTTAAAGGTTGTGTGGTTTCGCCTTTGGTTATATGAAAGGTAAAATGTCGGAATTCAGTATGCTCCACTGGTCCGAGGTCGTCGCATTTCGGCCAATCGGTTTGATTGAAAGATAAGAATTTCGGCCCGTGCAGCCAGATATCGGAACTTTGTTGCCGGCTGAATTTCGTTGCCAAGTCAGCAGGGTTAAGTTTTGAGGGAACCCAATTCCAGTCAGTGGCGTTGGTCGCCTCCAATACCTCGCCCACGCGATGCATTACATACTGTTTTGAAATTTCTCGGAGCCATTTGAGCACGGTCTTTGAGTCTGACCACCAGAATCGAGCATGAATCGGAACTTGTAGTGCCTTCATCACATTGTTCGCCAATCTTACGCCAGTCACTGCAGCTTGTAGTTCGAGCCTCGGGATAGATACGGGCTTTAGCGGTGCTACTTTTGACTTAGCGGCCACGATGATAGTGTTGACTTCGTTTTTGTTTTTCACTCGCAAATAGCAAATTGCCGCGTAAGCATACTCGCCGGCATCTACGAAGGTGTGGATTTGGTTGCATTCGGAGTCTTTTAGAAGTTGTGAATAACATCGCGGAATCGTAATAGAGGTTATTGCTGGCAACAACGTCTTCCACTGGCACCACTTGTTGTAAAGCGGACCTGGGAGTGGGTCATCCCAGTTAATGGCCGATCGCCATACATCCTGAAGTAGTATTTTAAGACCTATGGTGTAATGTGCCACAAACCCGAGAGGGTCGAAGATGGACATCAACACCTGGAGTACTTCCCTTTTGGTTGGGACCAAGCTACATTGCAAGATGTCTCGGCTCATTTTGGAGAACCTGCAAATAAACTTAAAAACATCGTTAGTTGGATCCCAAAACAAACCTAATATTTTTTCTGCATTGCTTAAGTACTTAGGAGTTTGATCTTCGACGGACTCCCCTGGAAGTTGCCTCAGAACAGCTGATGAGTTAGATGCCCAGTTACGAATGTTGAATCCAGCTTGAGCGTGAATTGCTTTCACTTGCAGAGCCAGTTCCAGTGCTTCTTCTTCGGTATCGACGCTGTCGATGAAGTCATCGACGTAATGATGCTTTTGTATTGCTTCTACCGCTCGCGGCGATGTTTGCTTGTATTGCTCTGCATTTACATCTCGAACAAAGTGAGCAATGCAAGGTGCGCAGCTGATGCCGAAGGTAAGCGCTTGCATAACGTAGATGTGAGGGTTATGTAACTCCTCACAGTTCTCGTGCCACAAGAACCTCTGAGCGTGCATGTCCATTTCTCTTACGCGAATCTGGTGGAACATTTCGGCAATGTCTCCACAAATAGCAAACTGCCCAGTTCTAAAGGCCAGTAATACGAAGACTAGCGAATTGAGTAGATCTGGCCCGCACAGAAGGAAATCGTTAAGAGCGGCTCCATCAGATTTGGCCGCAGCGTCCCACACAAGGCGCAACTTGCCGGGTTTGTTGGGGTTTAGTGTGATAAATATCGGCAGGTACCACTCGTGGTCGTATGATCTATTTACTTCGTCTGCAGTTAACCTTCTTGCGTAACCTTTGCTAATTAAGTTGTCTATTTGCTTCTGCATGTTGCAAATTGGAGTCCTTAGCTAACTTTTTCTGCATACATCTGAAGCGTTTAAGGGCGTTGTCGTAACTAGCTGGTATCTTTGCGTCGTCATGCTTCCACAACAACCCCACTTCATAGCGGCCCTCTCTTTTTTCACACGTTGAATTTAGAATTTGCAGCGCTCTACAGTCTTGTGAGGACATGAGCTCTCTTTTTTGCGGCATCTCTAGGCTGAAGTACTCCTTGATCTCTTCGTGTAGGATTTCGTATTTCTTTTCGCAGTCACATATGTGAATATTCAATAGTTGTGAGTCAAAGTGGTTAGTAGTACCTCCCTGCAAGGTCCAACCTAAGCGACACTTAGTGGCGATCGGCTCAAGCCAGTGTCCCTCACGAGTTTTGATAGGCACCGCAAGTTTCCAACAATTGGCTCCTATTAGAATACCCGGCTCGGCATTTTCATATGACTCGATCGGAAGCCCGCGTAGATAAGGATATTTCTTCGTAATTTTCTCCATATTAAGAGACTGGCTAGGCAAGCC